GTCGGTATTCATAATTGATTTTTACATTTAAGACTGTTTTAAGTATAGTCTTAAGATATCATAAATCAACATTGTAAAGCCGTATTAGTATCTTAAGACATTATTTAAAACGGTCTTGAAATAAGAACCGACTATAAATACCGGCCTTAGATCTTTCATCAAACTTATATTCAACAAGAACATTGAAGATCGAGAATAGTCCAAGTCATGTCTCGCATCGAGACGATAAAACTCGATGTTTATCGCAAATTTTCGCGAATTTCTTCAAAAAAGATTACGACATGACAAAAGCTCCGTAATACCTCGCGACAACTGCATTACAGTCGCGTGATGTCGCAGCTAAAAAAGAACGAGCGACACGTTTCCTCGAAATCGCGAAAGTTCGCGCGCAGCAGAAATCGAGCGTTAACACAATTAAGTGATTAAAGGGACATGTATACGCTGGACGAAATCGAAATCTGCCGTTTCCATTCGACATACGCGACACACGTAACGTGAATGAAAACCTCTCGTTTTAGCCTGACGGCGCGGTACAGCATGTCGCGTCGCGTCGCGCCCTGTCACATTGCGCTGCTGCTCCGACCTGTTTGTAAACTTTTGTAACAGCACAATGCATCCGACTGACAAAAGGAGCTCATTGCGCGGCAAACGTTTAAAGGCATTAATTACAGCCGGGCTTTGTGTCAGTCGCAAAAGTTAACAGCTCCGGGCATTATTTTCGTACGCGTACCGCGTTTCGGTTTGCGAGAGCGCACTGTTTGACGTCGTTATTAATCTGCGGCGCGTTTTCCTTTTTGAGATACCGCTTTATTGTCGTTCAACGCTTTTGCGAAATGGTCTCTGTGTTAGCTCTTTCTATTATATATCGTATGGATATTGGCAAGAGGGCCCATGCAAATAGAAAAGCTTTTCAAGAATTAAAAATAAAAAGACTTGTATATAAAAAATAAATGTAAAACGTATATCGTAATTGAAACTGAATTATAGATAATGAAAGAATTAAAAATACTCTTCAATATTGAAAGCTATAATGGAAATGGACAGAGCAAAGTATTATATGTAACTGTTTCTGCTTAAAAACTAAACAGGTAAACGCTTCAGTGATCAGACATGTACTTATATCTGGACACTCTTAGATACATAAAATTTATTATTATTAATCTCAAATGTTTTTTTTTATTACAATATAATTTAATTGTATTTAAAGATTACAATTAAGTTATGTTTATATACTATATTTTTTTAAACATTATATTTAAAAAAGTATTTGAGATTAATAATAATATAAACAAATCTCTATAAAATCTCTTTGGGTAAATGTTCGGATACATGTCCGGTTATTGAAACGTTTACTTCATCTTTCCAAATTTTTTTCCGAAACATATGCTGAATCTCTATAAAATTTTAGATATACAGTTATTAATATGTAAGATTATAAAGAGTTTATAGACTCGTATTTATAGTCCGTTCTTATTTCAAACTGTCTTAAGTAATGTCTTAAGAAACTAATACGATTCTGTGATTAGTTCATGACATTTCAAAACTGTACTTAAAACGGTCTTGAATATAAGAACTATGAATACCTTATTTTAAAACTTAAAAGTACTTAAAAAATTACAGATGCAATGGGAATAATAAAACTTTCGGTTTTTCTAAGATTATTTTAAAGTACAATAGCCTTAAAATACTTTAAAGTTCTTAGATTACTTTAGATTAACTTTTTACACACTTTAAGTTTCTTAAGTAAACTCTTAATTACCTTCAAAAATCTTAACTTCATTTAAAGTAAATTTTCTCCAGGGTGTAGATATCAGAATCAGAATAAATTTTTATTACTTATATATACCTTTTTTTTCTTAAAAAAATCGCTCTAATTAGCTGCAGATGATTTTCCTAATATAACTACATCGCGACTTTTTCTATATTTTAGACGACTATTATTAGGTCGAAATGAAATTATAATAATAATAAGATTGAAAGACCGCTAATGTTAAACATAATACTTTAAATTAAGAAGCGCCATAACGGTCAGAACGTTAAGATGTTGAACTATTGTAAATTCATTTAAAATGAATTAATTTCAGAAATGATAATTGCGTGCCGATATGGTTGTCGGACTTTCAACGCAATCAAATCTGAAAATATAATCCCCCCAAATTTCCCAACTTAAAAACTGTAATAAACTTATTGCGAAAAATAATGCCTCGGCCGGGAGTCGAACCCGGATCTCTTGCATTCCGTGCGAGCGTCCTAAGCCTTTAGACTACCGAGAAATTATAATATTGTTAAAATTGAACATTATATATATGAAACCTCTTTATGAAGATTTTATATTGTTGCTTATGAAATGATTGTATTATTAATTAGAATACATTAGTTTTATTTTAATAATTTCTTTCTGTGTAATTGACTGTTACAAAGATGCAGCGAATTTTAATTACTTAGATTTAGAAAAATTTTTTCTCAGTGTAATAAAATAACAGTGACGACTAAAATATCTTTTATATTTTTAAAAAATCCAACATCAGCTAATATTAAAAAATTAGCATTAAAGCGTCAACACACGTGATATTTCGTGTGCGAACGTGTGAAAGTAAAAAAAACTTTCACTAAATAACTTCTAGGAATGTTTCCGATAGCTTTAGGGTTTTTAAAAAGAAAAAAGACACTATCTGTTTTAACTGTAGTTCACAAAAGAATTGTTTCTCGAAAGATAAGTATGTTACAATGTAAAATGTTACATATATATCAAAATCAATCGCAATTATAAAAAAAAAAAAAAAACGGCGCATCAACAATATTTTTGTAATCAAATTCAATTTTTACGTCTCAAAATAATATGTATAAAATATGCGAAAAACTTTAAAAAATAAACGAAACATGACATTTATTCTTTTCCCTTTGTAACAACAGTTTGTTTAAACGCGCATCCGATGAATAACTATTACGATGTTCAATATGAATATGTATATAACGATAAATTAAAGATTTATACATACGCAACAAGTTACAAATAGCGTAATGTGGTCGGACTATTAGCCATGCATCGTGTAACATAATAGAAGCTACGTTCGCAAAATGGAGAAAATCATTCTTTATTTTCTCAATTTGTTCGAACGTGATACGGTCTACTCGATTACGTATCATCAGTTCATCACTCGAGAGAATTAACGCATGAAAGATGCGTTAATTGGACAGTTACGAGTTTCCTCGTCGAGCTCAGTGATACTACATTCTCATTTATTAGCGCATTTATTTGCAAAGCCTAAAATGCGACCCCTGAAATTCAACAAGTGCCCCTCGAACCTGAAGCGAGAGAGTGAACGGACGTGAGAGCGCACCCAACTAACATCCAACCTCTATTACGTGCGTGACGCGACTGATCCTAGGGGGAGAGGGAGGCGCGGGACGCGGAGATAAAGGATCGGTGGTGGGAGAGGGAGGGAGAATCGGGTAGGACTGGGTAGGACGGTCGGCGAGTGGTGGGGGTCGGAGCGAACGGGAACTTCGGGCCGCTTCGGTCGGCGTCGGCCGCGTCCGGGTTTCTGGTTTCTCCCGCGGCCGCCTAAGCGGTGTCAGCGTGTGCGCAGATCGGCTGCGCAGCAGGCGTATGCGTTGTCCAGATTCTTTGTGCCATTCCTGGCATACCAAAAACACGAGAGTGACCGTCCTCGTATTTACCCGTGGTGCAGTACCGCGCGCCGATATCACGCCGTGCGATTTTCGTCCGTGAAAATAAGGGCCGCTCTCGCGCGTCCCGCCACGTCACACAGATCAGCCAAGTGGTAAGTAACACGATACAAAGTTACATTGCTTGCAAACGCCGTACGCGAGCGAGCGCGTCCACGCCCGTGTGGATGTCCTGACGGTGGCGTCGTCTCGCAACAGGCCCGCGCAAGGAACGAGTCCGACTGCAGCGACGATGGCGATATTACCCGCAGAGAGAGAGAGAGAGAGAGAAAGAGACGGAGAATGAGTGAGTCACTGACAAACGGACGGACCGACGGGCGAAAGAGTGAGACAGAGAGAGAGAGAGAGATGTTGCATGTGTGCGTGAGAGAGAGAGAGAGAGCGTGCGAGAGAGAAAAAACTGACGTAGCGCGCGGATTTCTGTTCACGAAAGTGCTTCACTGAGCAAAGTGAGCGAGTGAATACGCGACGCCGTTATTATCCGCTCCGCGACCGGTACTCGCGCGTTTAGCTTGTCACGCTTGTGCGATACTTCCGCTCGGCCGTGGCGAGCGTCGATCCGCCGTTGCTCCGAGGTTAAGACTTCAAACACGGGCGTGTATAACGTGAGAAGAGAGGAAGGAAAAGGAAAAAGAAAAAGAATGCGAAAGAAAAACCATTACGCCGTCACGCGTTTGAGAAAGAAGAAAGACGTTCGTTCGACCGGCGTATCTACCCGGTAGAGGGCTGTTTACATCGTGTCATCCGGCCTTCTCGTGAGTACTCGGAATCATATATGGGCTCTCGCGTGTTTACAAGCGTGCCGTGTCATCCGTGTCAGCTGTGCGCGTCGATAGCGCGCGTACGAGTCGATTCGCAGCGCAGCGCAGCGCGACGTGACGCGACGCGGCTCACCTCACCTCATCGTCGAGGTTAGGGCAACTCTCCTCTCGCGGTCATCACTCGACGGTGGTGTGTGCCGGTGGTATGGGCTGCGTGCGCGTTTCCTCGCTGCCGGCGCGACGCGCGAGCGGGGGCGCCGTAACAGAAACGCGTGCTGCTCTCTCCGCCTCTAGTCGCCTGTCCGCCAGCCCGCTCGTCCGCTCACTCGCTCGCTCATTCGTGTCGCCGCTCGCCCGCTTCTGGTGAATTCGTATGGTATGGTGAATTATTGATCCGCGGCGGCGTGTGCGTGCGGAAAAACCGCCGTTGGTTGGAAGAGAGGAAGGGTAGGAGGTAGGGGG